ATCAACACCCATGGAAGCAGCAGTCAAGAAATCAAAAGACACGTTGCATTGGGCAAATCGGCTGCAAAAGACCTCTTTAAAGTGTTAAAAAGCAAAGATGTCACCTTGAAGCCTTAGGTGCGCCTGACCCAAGCCATGGTATTTTCAGTCACATCATATGCATGCAAAAGCTGGACAATGAATAAGGAAGACCAAAGAAGAATCGATGCCTTTGAATTGTGGTGTTGGCAAGAAATATTGAATATACCATGGACTGCCAAAAGAACAAACAAATCTGTCTTGGAAGAAGTACAACCAGAATGCTCCTTAGAAGCAAGGATGGCGAGACTACATCTTACATACTTGGGACATGTTGTCGGGAGGGATCAGTCCCTGGAGAAGGACATCATGCTTGGTAAAGTACAGGGTCATCGAAAAAGAGGAAGATCCTCAACGAGATGGATTGACACAGTACCTGCAACAGTGGGCTCAAGCATAACAATTGTGAGCATAGCACAGGATCGGGCGTGTTTCGTTCTGTAGTACATAGGGTCGCTATGAGTCGGAACTGACTTGACAGCACCTAACAACGACAGTATTCCATTATGTGTGTGTACCACATTTTGTATATCCATTCATCAGTTAATACACGTTTCAGTTGTTTCCACCTTTTGGCTATTGCAGAAAGTGCTACAGTGAAGATCGGTGTACAGGGTTTTGTTTACGCTCTTGCCTTCACTTCTGGGTATACGCCTAGGATTTGGGTTGCTGGGTCATGTGTTAATTTTATGCTCAACTTTTTGAGGAACCACCAAACAGTTTTCCACAGTGAATCTACCATTTTGTAGTCTCGCCAGCAATGGATGAGGGTTCCTAATTTTTTTTTAAGTAATTTAATTTACTTTTTGTTGTTGTTGAGAGGCATTTAATTTTTGTTCAGAGAATATATTATTTTATATGTTTGGTATGGATTTAAATGGTAACTTCATATCTGAAAGTAATGACAAACTGAACATGAGTTCTAAATATTCTGTTTTTCAATTTGATAGAATTTCATATAGTTTTAAAATATATTTTAAGCTAAGGAGGAAGCTACACTGGCTTTGTGACCTTGAACAAGTTACTGACTGTGTAAATAATAATAGTTCTTACCTCCTTGTTGTGAGAATTAAATGAGATAATGCACTATGCCTGAAACATAGAAAAATTTAAATGTTAACTATTATTTGTTATTATATATTATTAAATTTTAATTGTATTTACACACACAAAAAGTCCAAAGGGGTGTTCAAAAACAAGAATAATCAATTCTGCCTGAAAAAATCCAGTAAGTCTTCATAAAGGGCTTTTTTTTGAACTGGGCTTTGAACGATGAGTAGAAACTCATTTGGAAAAAGAATACATATGACTCCAGTCTGAAAAAATAACATGAACTGGGAAATTTGTATGGCTATGAAACTAAAAAAATAAATGAGGCCCAATTCTAAAGGGCCTGGAATGCCACACTAAAGAATTGAGACTTACCCTGTAGGTAATTGGGAGTCCTCTGAGACCTTTAATAAGTCTAGGAGTGTAATGATTAGGTTTGGCTTGGAGAGTTAAACATCCCACTAATGCACAAGATAGCCTCCTCCTGTCCCAACAAGGAATTATTTGGTCCAAAATGTTAGTAGTGCAGAGGTTGAGAAAACCTCCCTTAGGGTATCTTTAATGTTATTGCCATTGCATAGAAGTGTTTTTATTTTTTTAAGTGTCCTGGTAGTATAGTACAGTTTCCCAAAACTTAAAAATTAAATAAAAATGTATATTTGAAAAACTATAAGTATAGTTTGGATGGGATAGAACCATTTTCATGGAAACTTACTTAAGCCGGTGTAATGAGTAAGCAACTTCCTCTTAACGTTCTGTGTGCCACATAGTATTCAGGTGAGTATCCTAGCCTATCAGTGGACCCTGGACCTGAAGGTGCTGGGTAGTCAGGAACTGTGGCATATGGAAGGCCGCTACTGAATATTCTGCAGATAGATTGGAATCTTGTTCAGTTTGGATTACATCTCTTTGGTTTTTCAGAACAAATAGCATGTGATGCTTTTGGCCTAATATTTGTGATTTTATTATTTCCTGAAAGATAACCAGAGCTGATTCAATATTAATTTTCAGAAAAACTGAAAGACTTTACTATTAATTAAGATTCAGAGCTGAGAGTCAGCAAAATTGTAATGAAAACCACCACAGAATCAAGATGTGAATTTTCAGCATCCTTGCCCACTCAGTAGTTTTGTGACAATGGTCAAGTTACCTTTAACCTCACTGATTTTATCGCATGTATAAAGTAAGTATAAAATACTATAATATGGTAATTAAAAGGATTGAAGGAACTGTTACCACTCAGTAAAAAAAAAAAAAAAGGCAAATAACCTGATTTTAAAAATCAGCAAAGGATCTGAATAGACATTTCTGGAAAGCTATGCTAATGGCCAATAAACACATGAAAAGTTGCTCAACATCATTAGCCATTAGGGAAATGCAAATCAAATCCACAGTGAGATACCATTTCATACTCACTACGATGACTATAATAAAACAGATAACGTGTGTTGAGGAGGATGTGGAGAAATTGGAACCCTCATATACTGCTAGTGGGAATATAGAGGGGTCCAACCACTTCGGAAACCAGTCTGGCAGTTCCTCAAAAGGTTAAACATACCTATGGTTATTACAAGATCCAGCAGTTCCACCCCTAGCTATATACCTAAGAGAAATGAAAACATACATCCACAAAAAAAACTTACACATGAATATTCATAACAGGATTATTCATAATAGCCAAAAAGTGAAAAAGTAAGTGTGCATTAACTGATTAATAGATAAATAAAATGTGGTATATCTGTATAATGGAAAATTACTCAACAATAAAAAGAAATGAAGTACTGAGACACACACAACATGGATGAATCTTGAAAACGTACTAAGTGGAAGAAGCCAGTCACCAAGGACCACATATTTTATGATTCCATTTATATAGAATGTCTGGAATACCTAAATTTATAAACACAAAAAGTAGATTAGTATTTGCCTAATGCTGGAGGGCATGGGGTGGGGTTGATAGGTAACTATTGTTAAGAGGTGCAAGGTTTCTTTTGAGGGTAATACAAGTGATGTAAAATTGATTGCGGTGATAGATGCACAACTCTGTGAATATACTAAAAATCATTGTAGTAGTGAATTGTATAGTAAGTGAATTATATCTTAATAAAGCTGTTTTTAAAAAGGATAAAAAAATTACATAAAAGGCAATTTGGGTTTATATTTATATTTATACAAAGAGTAATTTTGTCATTTCTCTGGCTAATCTACAATATTCAGGTATATAGAGTTATGAGCAGTCAAAAAGATTTTAATTATAAAACCATAATTTCAAAGCATACTTTTTTGTTTTGTATTTGCTTCAGTTTTATTTATTGACCAAATCTTTTTTTTTCCAAAGTTTTTTGCCATTCACATTTATTAATGATGTGATCCCAACTTAAATATATAATTTAATTTCCCACTTCCATCCTTTATTCTCATCAGTAAAAATAAATAAAAGAATAAATGATACATGAATACATGTAATCCCTCCTCTCTCTGTATACCCTGCTCCTTCTGGCTTTTTAACTTTTGGTCATACTATTTTGAACAAATCTTTTCTAATTGGTAGGAATAAAAGAACACAAAAATATTTTCAAATAATTATAGAATATGAATGAATAGTAATGGGCTTCCTGGAGATTAACTATTGTGAATTTCTCTGACTGAAATTTTAGTAACAATAACAAATGTCATCCATCCCATTTCTCTTATTTTGAACAGTAAAAAATTGAGGCCTAGTAAAGCTTAAATCATTTTTTTAGGGCTTTATATAGTAATTATTAGAACTAGTTTTCAGTATTCTTAGTTCATTGTTCTAAATCTCATTACAGTACTCTTATAATACTGCATTCTTAACATATTGCACATTTAAAACTAGACCTTATTTTGGTACAACACTCTCTTATTGTCATTTTTTAACATAAAATAGTAATCTAAATAAGAAATTTTTAATATGAACTTTTTATTTTGGGATAATTATAGGATTATAGAAAAGTTCCAAAGATAGCCAGAGAGTTCCTGTTTACCCTTCACTCAGCATTCCCTAATGTTAACATCTTACATAACCATGGTACATTTGTCAAATCTAAGAAATTAACATTGATACAGTACTGTGAATTAAATTACAGACTTTCTTTGGATTTCATCAATTTTTCCACTAACGTTCTTTTTCTGTTCCAGGATCTAATGCAGAAAACCACATTGCATTTAGTGATTGAAAAAAATAAAAAGACTTTAATTTGAAATGTGTTAAGAATTTGTTTAGTCTTTGTTTTTGAGAAAAATTATCATGAAATTTCCCAAGTATGGTATAATAATAAGATTTTAATAGGCATTAATGAGGAAGCAAGGAGCCCTGGTGGCAAAATGGCTAAGTACTTGGCTGCTAACTAAAAGGGCCACAGTTTGAACCCAGCAGCAGCTCCACAGGAGAAAAGACCTGGCGATCTGCTCCCATAAAGATTACAGCCTAGGAAACCCTATGGGGCATTTTCTACTCTGTCTTATGGGGTCACTGTGAGTCACAATTGACTCAATAGCACACAACAAGAACAACAATGAGGAAACATGGTTTCTGTGAACAGATAAGCTTGGAAATGTTTCATTGACGTACTGTATGTCAGGCACTATTCCAGGTGCTAAGGATAGGTCCTTGCTCTCGGGGAACACAGTTGGGAAGATAGACAGTAAACTATAACAAAAAGCATCATGCCTGACTAGTATTTTGTAGAACAGACTTTAAGAAATCCATCTCTTCACATGTTGCTCCCATTACATTACTAGTGGTCACTAAAAACAAAAACAAAAAACCTGTTGCCGTTGAGTAGATTCTGACTCATAACGACCCTGTAGGATAGAGTAGAACTGCCCCATAGGGTTTCCAAGGAGTGGCTGGTGGATTCGAACTGCCGACCTTTCGGTTAGCAGCCTGAGTTCTTAACCACTGTACCACCAGGGCCCCTCAGTGGTCACTAGGTTTGCCTAAATTTTCCATTTATTTTGCATTTTACAATGAAATGTTTTAAATATTATAATCATGAGAATATACCTTACATATATATATATGTGGTCACTGATTTTTATGTGTTTCCTTGAGCCAAAGTAGGTTAGTATTTTTTCCTCAGAAAATTAATAGTAAGTTCCTAAGTTTCTATGTTCTATAGAACATACAAAGGAGAGTCTTGAGAAGTATAAACATACATTGTTTAGATAAACCTGGAAATTTAATTTCTGAACAAAAGTGATCTTCATCTTTGAATTCTTCTGTAATACAATTTTTATTTACTATACAAAGTTCAAAGGTCATACCTGTAAATTTTTAAAAAGAAGAAAATCCACTCATCATGCCAGTGTCCCCAAACAATATTTTAAAATTTCCAAGCACTTAGCTGCTAACTGAAACGTTGGCATTTCGAACCCACTCAGCGGCTCCAAGAGAGAGAGATCTGGCAATCTGCTCCCATGAAGATTACAGCCTAGAAAACCCTATGGGGCAATTCTACTCTGTCACATGGAGTCACTAAGAGTCAAAATAAACTCAGCACCTAACAAGAACAACAACATGTTCTCTTCTAGTCTATATACATTGCATGTTTTTATATGGCTATTACAATTATACCATACAATTTAGAATTTAGTTGCATACCGTATTATATTTGCTAATTGTTTTATATTTAGTCTTGATACCACTCTGAAACATGAGTATATGCTTCCTAAGGGCAGGAATCGAGTCTTGGTTTTCTACATATGTTTATTTTCTACAGATGGTACCTAGCACTAAGAACATAGTAGATTCTCAGTGTATAGTTTTGATTAATAGAAATTTTAAATTCTCTCTTAAAATCACTGTTTTTATTATATCCTTTCAGATCTATCAAATCTATTCAAAGCGATCTGCTGAGGATATTTATAAAATACTGACATCCTACAAAGCTAATTACCTAATAGTAGAGGATGCTATCTGCAATGAGGTGGGAACCATGAGAGGTTGTAGAGTTAAAGATTTATTAGACATTGCAAATGGGCATGTAAGTAATCATTTGGAAAGTTAAACTTTTTCTTTCTTTTGAGAAAAATGACTATTTAAACTTGTAATCTTAAAACTTCATTTTTGGAACTTAAGAATCTAATTAAAATTTTAAAACCATGGGGAAAGCTTATTAAAAGTAGTTTAGTTTAAAGTAGTTTTTTAATGTACAAAGAAAAGTTGATCATTTTTGCAAAAAAATCCACATTTCCACATTTATAAAAGTGGCATAATTTGATTTCAATGATAATTTTATTTTTATTCACCATAATAATCTAGAGAGCAGCTGGTTGCATTTTGTTATATTCTTATATAGAGAAATTTCTTGTAATTTAATACATATCTAGAAAAATTGCTTACTAAATTAACACGGTGCCGGTACACTGAGTCCCTATTATCCACAAAAATTAGTGTATTCAGAGGCACTTTAAATTGTTAGGATTTAGCTGGATCTTAATTTCTACATTTATTTTATCTATTGTACCAAGCTTTCTTACTTCTCAGCCTGCAGCGTATATACTGTGTATCTGGCAAGTAACAAGACTGACAGAAGTTTGTGTGTCTGATAATTAGTTCTTCCTGGAATGGATGCCTTGACTTCCAGGAAAGTTGAGGGTCGGAAACCTTCGGAAAAGTTTAATAGATCATTCTCAATTGGAGTGCATATTCTGTTCAGGTTGCAGCCAGGATTTCCCAGATTATCATAGTTCTTTGTCTTATCGCCTCAGTTTGGTTGGTAAGAAATTCGTTTTAGTGATTTCCACTTTCTTTCTCCATGATTCTTTAATCTTGCAATATAAACTTATTCTGTTTTACGCCGCATGTATTTTGTTTTTTGTTTTTTTTTTTTCTGAATGCTACATGTATTTTGAATTTCCTCTGTTGATACTTGATAGCTGTGATCTTTGCTCTGTAGGTGACAAAAGGGAATTTTACTAAACACTGGATATTCAGTTATTACTGCTGTATTGGAATCTGGTATCTGGAGCCTTTTTGTTGTGTTCTTGGCTCAGGTCTGCCCGCCTTTATGCTCCATTTTGAAGATCAGGTTATTTCTGTTACGTAATGCCAGGCATGGATTTAAGATAATCCACATTTTACTCTTAAAATTGTATTTCTGAGTCTTTCCTAGGCTCTAGAATAATATTTAGTGTTTTATTGTAAAAAGTTCTTAATGCTATCTAAGCTGTCTTAATTAATTAACATCATTAGGCGAGAATGTAAAGGTTTGCATTGGTTAAGTCACAAAAACTTACTTGCTTACTAGATAATTGTGAGTCAATTACACACAACAATAAGAGTTTAAATATACATTAGAAACGTAGTATGTCCATCTCTCACCTTTGGTAAGCTCTATGACAAGGATCTTCAGAGGAATGGTAATGGACTCTGGAAACATTGTCTTGTAAGTTTTAGTATTAAATCTTTTAAAAATCAGAAACACTTTACATTGGTTTCTCAATCTTAATGGGAAGCTCAAGAGTTTAATGGACATGGTGTCTTTTTTTTTTTTTTAATCTTTTTATTTATTTTATTGTACTTTAGGTGAAAGTTTATAGAACAAATAGTTTCTCATTAAACAGTCAGTACACATACTGTTTTATGACATTGGTTAACAACCCCATGACATGTCAACCCTCTCCTTTCTCGACCTTTTTTTTTTTTTTGTGAAAATATACATAGCCAAAGATACACCATTACAAAAATTTCTACATGTACAGTTCAGTGACATCGATTACGTTCTGCAGTTGTGCTGCTATTCTCACTTTAGATGAAGGTTTACAGAACAAAATAGTTTCTCATTAAACAGTTAGTATACATGTTGCCCTGTGGCAATGGTTAACAACCCCACTACATGTCAACACTGTCCTTACTCAACCTTGGGTTCCATATCACCAGCTTTCCTGTCCCCTTCTGCCTTCTAGTCCTTGTCCTTGGACTGCTGTGCCTCATTAGTCCCATTTTGTTTTACGGGGCTGTCCAATCCCTGGCTGAATGGTGAACTTCAGAAGTGACTTCACCACTGAGCTAAAAGGGTGTCTGGGGGCCATACTGTCTGGGTTTCTCCAGTCTCTTTCAGGCCAGTAAATCTGGTCTTTTTTTGTGTGTGTTAGGATTTTGTTCTACATCCTTCTCCAGCTCTGTCCGGAAGCCTCTGTTGTGATCCTAATCAGAGCAGTCAGTGGTGGTAGCTGGGCACCATCTAGCTGTACTGGACTCAGTCTGGTGGAGTCCTTGGTAGCTGTGATCCATTAGTCCTTTGGACTGATCTTTTCCTTGTATCCTGTTGTCTTCATTCTCCCTTGCTCCTGAAGGGGTGAGACCAGTGGAGTATCTTAGATGGGTGCGCACAGGCTTTTACTCACCAACACCGTACTCACCAAGGTAGAAAGTAGAACAGTGTCTTTATGAACTGTGTTATGCCAGTTGAGCTAGATGTTCCCTGAGACCACGGACATGGTGTCTTTTGTGAAGAGGCTTCTGTTTACTAAACCACATGAGATGCTTTATGGTCCATGTTTAGCAATAATGTATTTTTCCATATAAATATAGTCACTTATACATTGATTGCATTTCTTCTATAGGCTTAATAAGCTTTTTAATATTGTGTTTCCTATCTTTTTGATAGGTGGTTTGCGAAGAAGGTGACAAGTTGACTTACTCAAAATACGGGCGATTTTGTCATGAGGTCAAAATTAACTATTCTCCATATGTGAATTATTTCACTAGAGTATACTGGAACAGATCCTACTTTGTATATAAAATCAACACTGTGATATCCTTCCAGTCTTGAAAATTAGCAAAGCCTTTATTCCGAAGACTTTTACTACATGAAGTAAAATGTGATTTTCTTCTACCTATGTGGTATCTTTTGCAGATCAGAGTATAGACATTTGAAAGACTGCTGCATCTTTTCCCCTCTTGCTGTTAGCTGGATCAAGAGTTCTGTGGGAAAGAGAAGATCCAAGTATTACTGTTCTTTGGTAAAATGTCCTGCAATATTCCAGCCAGCTGTCTTCCTGACTGTTAAATGATCTTTAAAGGTTTTACTTTCTAAAATATTGTAAGATTTCCCCATAAATTTTCATTCTATCATAACATAGATCTCAAATTTGAATATGTTTAAGGTCAGATTATAGATCACAAACATAACATTTAATAAGTGCCTAATGTGATATAATTATATGATAGAAGGAAAGTTTCTAAAGTTGTGTCATGGTTTATAATAGAACTGAAATATTACCACAAAAAAACTAATTTAAATGTTAGCTGAAAATATGTAGCATTTAAATTAAAGTGGAAGTTATATAAAGGAAAGTGATTTTTTTAAGGATATACATAAAGATATATCCAGTATTCAGAACACTCAGAATTTTTCATGGTACTGCTCTCATCATCTGCTGCTTATATAAGTGAGCACTTTCTCAGTAATACATAATGCATGATACTGTATTTTTTTATTTTGTGACTATTAAATGGTTAACTTTTTTCACTTACGTCCATAAATTTGATACCAGTTTAATCATGATAAAATAGTAACTCTTGTTACCTACATATCTTTAAAAATAGAGATTTAAAAGAATATTGTTCAGGTTTTTAAAAAACATGGATATGGAGTATATGATCTATTTACATGTTTTGTACTGAACTATTAAGTAAAAAAAATTAAATATCAAAATAAGAATATGTACACTAAAATGATCAACAATATCTAGAGATATGTGCAGGTACTGTTAAGCATATCTCTGTATACAGATATTATAAAACACACGTGCTGTTACTTATGAAACTGGGATGCAGTCTTCAATGTTAAGAACAAAATGACAATTATAATAAAATTCACAACACAATTTCACAGTCTAAATACTATATTCCTTTGAGAATTTTCATATTTTTAATCATCTATTTACAAAATTCTAAAATAATTCCACATTAGAAAGACATTCAGGATAAATATAGCCTGTAGATGTATCATTTTAACAAGATAGAATGGATGTTTACTTTTACCTTACTTATCTGTTCAGTAACAGGTTTTCAAAGTTTTCGATTGTTAGTGTGCTGCAAAAATTGCATTTTCAATACTCTAAATCACTACCTTAGAAGGGAACATCTTTCCATTATCTTTTTTTTCTATCTTTTATATATTATATATATATGTATATATTTAAAGTATAAAAGCACATGAATTATTAGACTAACTCTAGGATGCTTTGCTGTTTTGGAGCTTAAGAGTTGTTTGATGGCAGTGTCATGTATCTGTTACATTAGTTCCATTGATTTTCTTAACTATATAAAGATAGCTGCAGACAGTGTCCTTTAAGTTGGCTCTGTACATCTTAGTAGTGAGTCACTAGTATTTAGCTTTAGGCTTATGACAATATTACCATTGTTATCTGACTAAGTGCACAGTAAATAGTCACATAGTAGTACTTGTCATTAGGACATGTAAAACAATGTAATTTAAAAGCTTGCATATTTTGGAGGGGAAATGAAAACACTACTTTCTGTGTAACGAATAATTTGAATTTTTATTGATTTATGTTACCATGTGATAAATTAGTTTTGGATTTTTTTTTTTTTAATATATGTTGGTAAGTTGCTTTTGCTTCTGTTGACTTATTTCTTAAATAAAATAGATTTGGAGAAAATTTCAATTCAAGTTTTTAAATAATAAATTTTTCATTCAGCATCAGTTGAAAAGGAGATTGTAGGGCTTATCATGGAAATGATGATATTGGATATTAGAGATAAGTGTATTTGCTTTTATTTTAACTGTAGTTAGAACAATAGCACTAGAAAACTTTAAGTGGGGAGCATTTAATTAAATTCTTTACTTATTAAAGTAACAAATGATTAAGAATCCTGCAAGTAATTATACTTGGGTAAATTACAGTTGTTAGATTTGACATTATAGCTCTACTATGAAATGAGCAAAGTTTATAATTTTTGAGTGGAAGGAATTTTTCAAAGAAATAACAAAATATACTCTGCCCTTGATGTTGCAAACCCACTGAAATAAGTGCCTTAACTTCTTTATTTCTAAGTTTACTTCCTATTTTTCAAAAGATATTATCCATTTCTTTCTTTTCCATATGAAAATTTTGGTAACTTTTTCCTCATCAATACATATAAAGAAAGAACCCTCACTATGCTTTTTTCACTATTAACTTTAATTTAGTAATAAGCAAATCTTTGTTAAGAGTACAGAAGGTATTTCTAGCCTGCTAAGTTAATTTATTTAGCTTCCCAAATGCCAGAACAAACAATTCAACAAATAAAACTTACTTGATAAAGAAATATGACATTGACTCTCTGCTGGTTTATATTTTTTCCAACTTTGGCATCTGTATCTTAGTGATTTATGTTAGACTGGTAGAGTTTTACAATCTAAGGAGTATGCATTGTACTTCAGCGTTAATTTTTTTTGTCATTACTTTTTTTTTCTTTTTTCGGTCATTACTTTCTATGTATGTAAACAGTATCCTTTTTCAGGACATGAACTCAAACCACCAATAGCCTCAATGTTGTGACACTCTATTCTGTATAATCCAGATTGGTTAGAGGAAACGCAGAAATGAAAGTTGAAGTGTATTACAAATTGGAGCTGGAAAGTAAACTTTTTTAAAAAATAGATTATTTGTTTCTTGAAGGGCACTGTGAATAGCCATCGTATTATCCCTAGTACCTTAGGCAGTGCCTGAAATAGGCATTCAGTAAATATTTGTTGAATTGAAAAGTATTATCATAGAAAGTGTAATATTTAAACTCAAAAACTTGACTGAATTTTCAAAATAAAATTGAAAATAGAATATTATCAAATTGTTTTATTTGCTTTTGAGAAATTGGTTGTTCTGGGGTTCTTTTTATTTTTGAACTATTAAAACATTTTGATGCCTTTTGTGGATAAAAGTTGTGCTTCTTTATAAAATTAGTGGGGTATTTAAAAGTTGTATATAAGTCAATTTTTGGTAAATTTATTTTAAATTCACAAATATTTAAATGCTATATATTATGAATTATTCTGTATAATTAAGAACCTTTTATAAGCAATTAACTGCTTCCTGATTTACATCTCAATATACTCTTCATTTGTCCAGTTTTTTTAGTCTTCATCATTGCTCTTTGATATAGTTTTAGATCCCAGTATGTATCAGAGTTACAGCTCTGAAAAAATGTAAGTAAAAATGGACAATTTCTAACTGAAATAATACATCATTATTAAGTTTTCAAATATGTAGGGGTAACACTTTAAATAAAAATAGATGTGAACATTCTAAAGAGATATATTTGACTCAGCTATTTTCTGACCATTAAGGTTTGTACACATTATACTTACTTATTTTTCATAATAGTAAAAGGACATTTTGGAACCACATTTGCTAAATTTAGCATGAAAGCGTTTTTTAATCCTTTCTGTTTATAAGTCTCTTGAAATTGGCAATATTTTAATCTTGGCATATATAATCCTTTATGCAGTTCTGTAAGAAACACACTTGTGACTGTTGTGTGCTGATGAGTCAATTTTGACTCACAGTGACCCTATAGGATAGGGTAGAAGTGCCCCACTAGGGTTTCCTTGGCTGTAATCTGTACAGAAGCAGATTGCCAGGTCTTTTTTCCCGGGGAGCCACTGGTGGGTTTGAACTGCTAACCTTTCAGTTAGCAGCTGAGTACTTAACCATTGCGCCACCAGGCCTCCTTAACTTGTGACTGCTATATGTATTTAGTGGAATAATGGTATCAGAAATATTCGTTCCAAACTTACAGTTTGGAATACCTTATAAACAACTTTCCATAATTTAATAGCTTTGTACAGCTATTTAACGAAGATGAAAATACCACTTTTATGTATGTTAACTTCTGAGTCTTATCTTACAACAGTATGTATTTAGATTAAATGTCTTCCTTCTCTAACTAAGATCCCATCTTTGCAAAAGGATAGAAGTTAATTTCAATAAATATAAATCCTTTAAAGGAGTTGAATTATAAACTAGTTTACTTCAGATTTTGTAACATTAAATATACTTTCATCAAGAATAAAATTCCTTATTTCATGTTTAATTACCCTCCTTGTTTTGATTAAATAATAAAACTCTTTTTGGAAGTTTAAGTTTTCTTTTATTTATACATCAATTTTTTTATTTTGGTTATAGCTTTATTAACACATAATCCATATACCATACAATTCACCCATTTAAAGTATACAATTCAATGGCTTTTAGTAGATTCATAGAGTTGTGCAACTGTCACCACAATCAAGTTAGACCATTTTCATCATCCCATGAAGAAACCCCATACCCTTTGCCTGTCACCCGTAACCGTCTCATCCTTCTCAACCCTAGGCAACCACTAACTGAACTACCTTCTGCCTCTATATTTGCATATTCTGGACATTTCATGTAAATGGAATCATAACGTGTTCTTTTGTGACTGATTTCTTTCACTTTAGCATAATGTTATAAAGGCTCATCCATGTTGTTGCATGTATCGTTCTTTTTTATTGTTGAACAATATTCCATTGTACGGCTATACCACATTTTGTTGATGGATGTAATAGTTGTTGGACATTTGGGTTGTTTCCACTTTTTGGCTATTATCAGTAATGCTGCTACGAATATCCATATACCAGTTTTTGTATGGATGTTGTCTTAGTCATCTAGTGGTGCTTTAACAGAAATACCACAAGTGGATGGCTTTAACGAAGAAAAATTTATTCTCTCACAGTCTAGAAGGCTAGAAATCCAAATTCAGTGTGCCAGCTCTAGAAAAAGTCTCTCTTTGTCGGTTCTGGAGGAAGGTGCTTGTCATCCATCTTCCCTTGGTCTGGGAGTTTCTCCGTGCAGGAACTCAAGGTCCAAAGGACACGCTCTGCTCCTGGCGCTGCTTTCTTGGTGGTATGAGGTCCCCATGTCTCTCTGCTCACTTCTCTTTTATATTTCGAAAGAGATTGGCTCAAGCCACAATCTAATCTTGTAGATTGAGTCCCGCTTCATTAACATAACTGTCACTAATCCCATCTCATGAACTTCGTAGAGATAGGATTTACGACACAAGAAAATCACATCAGATGACAAAATAGTGGACTGTCACACAACACTGGGAGTCATGGCGTAGCCAAACTGATACACATATTTTTGGGGGACACAATTCAATCCATGACAAATGTATATTTTCATTTCTCTTGGAGTGCAATTTCACATAAGGAGTGCAATTTCTGGGTCATATGGTAACTGTCAAACTATTTTCCAAAGTGGCTGCATCAATTTATATTCCCACCATCGGGGTATGAGACTTCCAGTTTCTCCACATTCTCATCAATGCTTATTATCTTCTTGATATAGCCATCCTAGTGGGTATGAATTGGTATTATCATTGTATTTGCATTTCCTTGATGGCTAGTGATATTGAGGATTTTTCTGTGTTTATTGACCATTTGTATATCTTTGGAGAAATGTCTTTTGCCCAGTTTTAAATCGAGTTGTCTTTTTATTATTGACTTATAAGAGTTCTTTATATATTTTAGATACAAGTCCCTTATCAGATATTTCCCCCATTAAGTGGGTTCTTTTCACTTTCTTGGTAGCATCCATTGAAGCACAAACGTTTTCAATTTTTAATTTTGATGAAGTCCAGTTTACTTATTTTTTCTTTGGTTGCTTATGCTTTTGATTATTGCCAAATCCAAAGTTATGAAGATTACCCCTGTTTTCTTCTGAGATTTTTATAGTTTTAGCTCTTACGTTTAGATCTTTGATCCATTTTCAGTTAATTTGTGTATGTGGTGTGAGGTAAGTGTCCAACTTCATTTGCATGTAGCTACCGAGTTGTCCCAGCACCACTTGATGAAAAGTCTATTCTCCTCCCATTTGATGGTTTTGGCACCCTTGTTGAAAATCAATTGACCAAAGAAGTATATGTTTATTCCTGGACTATCAACTCTATTCCATTGATATATTGTATTTTTATACAAGTAATGCATGCCTTCTGCATTTGTTTGTTGGTTGTGCCCTCCCCCGATGAGATATTTTTGTAAACGTGCTATGCTAATTTTCTTTTACAGCAACATGTGGAAGAAGATTGGCATGGTGGTGCTTGTGAGGGTGCCTGGCGGGGAGGGAGCGTGGAGACGGAGCGGCCAGCAAACAAATGTAGAAGGTGCAGGTTAGCTGCATAAAAATGTGGTATATGTCTATCGTTGTGCCAGTACCCCACTATTTTGATTCCTTTGCTTTGTGGTAAGTTTTGAAATTGGGAAATGTGAGTCCTCCTCCTTTGTTATTTTTTTTCAAAGAGGCTATTCTGGGTCCCTTGCAATTCCATACAAATTGTAGAATCAAGTCTGTTTTTGCAAAGAAGTCTACTGGGATTCTAATAGGATTGCCTTAAATATGTAGATCAATTTTGGGAGTATTGCCATCTTAACAATGTTAAGTCTTCCAATCTATGAACGTGGGATGTTTTTCCAATTATTTAATTGTTCTTTAATTCCTTTCAACAATGTTTTCTAGTTTTTAAAGTATAAGTTTTGTACTTCTTTTGTTAAATTTATTCCTATGTGGTAGAGAAAAAAATCCAACTCTGTTAAAGGAAAATTAAAGAGATTTATTGAAGCCAATATATCATTCAAATGAGGGAACCATGAAAACCTCAAGATCTGAAGCTCCCAAATGCCAAAGGGAGGGGTACAAATCATCCATAGTTATACTGCCATATGAGAAAGTACAAACACAATATTCTGACTGGTGTACAGTGATTCAGGTCAGTCAAAGGCAGGACAAAGTGAAGCATGATTTTTAACATTATTGGTTACATTAATGGAGGCCTGGTGGCACAGTGGTTAAGAGTTCGGCAGCTAACCAAAAGGTCAGAAGTTCGAATCCACCAGTTGCTTCTTGGACAATTGTACTCTGTCCTATAGGGTCACTGTGAGTTGGAATTGACTCGACGGCACTGGGTTTGGTTTGGTTTTTGGTTACATTAATACACCTGGAATACAGTGACTGGCTAAAAGACATAATTACAAACGTTTTTAGTCATGGAGGGTAGTCTCATCACTTTAAAACAATGACGTGACAGCTACTTTCAGGAACAGGTTGTTAAATGTTACCTCACCCAGAGCATAAGATCTCCTGGGGAGATTTAATACAAAGAGTTTGATAAGGTTCGATTACAGATTCACAGTCTTATCCTAACCACAAAGCCTTAATAATAGGGTTGTTTCCTAAGCAACAGGGTTTGAATCTGTATGAAAGAGTACATTAAGGCTTAGCATTAATTCAGCCATTTTACTTTTAGGTCTGACGACTCTTTTGTTTTTATATCCCATATCACCTAAGTATTTTTTGATGCCATTGTAAATAGAATTGTTTCCTTAATTTCATTTTCAGATTGTTCATTGCTAGGATATAGAAATACGATTGATTTTTGTATACTGTTGTTGTGTGCTATCAAGTTGAGTCCTAATCGTAGCAACTCTATATGACAGAATAGAACTGCCCCACAGGGTTTCCTAAGCTGCCATCTTTTTTTTTTTTTTGTAATTTTACTTATTTTGCTGTTGTTGTTGAGAATATACACAGCAAAACATACACCAATTGAACAGTTTCTTCATGTACCATTTAGTGACATTGATCACATCTTTTGCGTTGTATAACCATTCTCACCCTCCTTTTCTGAGTTGTTCCTTCCCATTAACATAAATTCACTGTCCCCTAAGGTTCCTATCTAATCTGTCAGGTTGCGGTTGTCAGTTTGATCCTATGTAGATAGTTCTTGAAAGTGCTTAATGCTCAGGGCACACCTGTTTTACTAGTTAAGCTAAACTATTGTTTGGTTTTAAGAAAACTTCAGAGGATATTTTTGCTTTATGGTTTAAAGATTATGTTGGGGCAGTAATTTTAGGGATTCATTCAACCTTCATGGCTCCAGGAAGTCTGGAATACGTGAGAATTCGGAATTCTGTTCTGCATTTTCTCCCTTTTGATCAGGATTCTTCCAGTGAATCTTTGATCAAAATGTTCAGTACTGCTAGCCAGGCACCATCCAGTTCTTCTGGTCTCATGGCAAAGGAAGCAGTTGTTCATGGAGGCAATTAGCCAAACATTCATATCCTCTTCCTATTCCTGACTCTCCTTCCTCTGTTGTTCCAGGTGAATAGAGACCAATTGTTGTGCCTTGGATGGTCACTTGCAAGGTTTCAAGACCTCAGGCACTACACATTGAACTAAGTGGTAGAACAGAAGCATTAAACATGTTACTGGCCACTTAACTGGGATGTTCCATGAAACCATGACCCTCAACTTCCAAACCAGCAAACCAAATCTTATGAGGTTTTTGGGTGTGCATAAGCATCCTCAGCAGCTTTTTTTTTTTTTTTTTTGTAAATATATTTATCACACAACTTTTGCCAGTTCAGCTTTTTAAAAATGTACAACTTAGTGATGGCAATTACAATAATTGGCTGTGCAACCCTACACTTAATCAATGCAGTATTTCCATCACCGTTAACCCCCCCTGCTTCCCCTTCCGTCCTGCCCCTGGTAACGACTAACAAACTTTGTTCTCTATACATTTGCCATTTCTTGTCTTCTTATATAAGTGAAGTCATACGATATTTGTCCTTTTGTGATTGATTTATTTCATGCAACATAATGTCTTCCAGCTCCATCCATATTGTAGCATGTATCAAGACTTCATTTCTCCTATTGGCTGAGGAGTAGTCCGTTGTACGTATGTATCACATTTTGTTTATCCATTCATCTATTGATAGGCATTTAGGTTGTTTCCACCTTATGGCTATTGTGAATAGTGCTGCAATGAACATTGGTGTACAAGTCTCTTTTTGAGTGTCCACTTTCAAGTCTTTTGGGTATATACCTAGGAGTGGAATTGCTGGATCATACAGTAGTTTTATTTTTGGTTTTTTTGAGGAACCACCACACTGTTTTCCACAGTGGCTGTACCTAAGCTGTCATCTTTATGGGAGCAGATCTCCAGGTCTTATCTCCTGTAGAGCAGCTGATGGGTTCAAACTACCGACCTTTCAGTTAGCAGATCAGTGCTTAACCATTGCACCACCAGAGCTCCTTGGTTTTTGTATATTGATCTTGTATCCAGCAAACTTGGTGAACTCAATTATTCGCTGTAATAGTTTTTCATGGATTCTTTAGGGTTTTCTATATACACAATTATGACATCTGCACATGGAAATAATTTCACTTCTTCAAAGCTTTCTAATCTAGATGGCTTTTATTTCTTTTTCTTGCCTAATTGCCCTGACTAGAACTCCAGTGCAATGTTGAATAGAAATGGAGAATGTGGACATCCCTGTCTTGTTCCTTATCTTAGGGAGAAAGCTTTCAGTCTTTCACCATTAAGTATGATGTTAGCTGTGGGTTTTTCATAGATGCCCTTTATCAGGTTGAGGATGTTCTTTTCTATTCCTAGCTTGTTGATTGTTTTTATCATGAAAGTATGTGGGATTTTGTCAAATGCTCTTTCTGCAATTATTGAGATAACCGCATATTAACAATAATTGATTTTCAGATATTGAACAACATTGCATTCCTGGGATAAATCCTACTTGGTCATATTGTATAATCCTTTTCATGTTGCTGGATTCAGTTTGGTAGTATTTTGTTGAGAAAATTTTTTTTATTATGATCAAAGTATATAAATATAAAACACAAAACATGTGCCATTTCATCATTTTTTATGTGTACAATTCAGTGACATTAATTATGTTCATCATGTTTTGCAACCATCACCATTATACATTTCCAAATATTTCCATCACCCTTAACAAAAGCTCAGTGCCCCTGAGCAATAACTATGTTTTTCCCTTCTCTTCCACCCCAGGTAACCACTAATAAACTTTGGTCTCTATAAATGTAGCAGTTCTAGACATTTCATGTAAGTGGTGTCTTAGTTATCTAGCACTGCTATAACAGAAATACCACAAGTGGATGGCTTTAACAAACAAAAATTTATTCTCTCACAGTTCAGGAGGCTAGAAGTCCAAATTCAGGGCGCCAGCTCTAGGGGAAGGCTATCTCTCTCTCTCGGCTCTGGGGGAAGCTCCTTGTCTCCTTTCAACATCTGTGGGCCTGGTATTCCTTGGAAATCTCCATGTGTCTTGGCATCAGTTTTCCCCTGGGTCTTCTTAGCTTCTTAGCACAGGGACTCCAGGTCCAAAGGACACACTCTGCTCCTGGCTCTTCTTTCTTGGTGGTAAAGAGTCCCCTCTTCTCTGTTCAATTCTCTCTTTTATATCCCAAAAGAGATTGACTCAAGATACAATCTAATCCTGCAGATTCTGTCCTGCCTCATTAACATAACTGCCTCTAATCCTGCCTCATTAACATCATAGAGGTTAGAATTTACAATACATGGGAAAATTAGATCACAAAATGGAGGGCAACCACACAATACTGGGAATCATGGCCTAGCCTAGTTGACACGTATTTTGGGGGGACACAGTTCAATCCATGACAATGGGATCATACAATATTTGTTGAGAATTTTTTGCATATATATTCAAAAGATATATTGGTATGTAATTTTCTTGTGATGTCTTTGTCTAGTTTTGATGTGAGGGTAATATAAGCCTCACAGAATGAATTAGAAAATGTTCCCTTCTATAATTTGGGAGAGTTTGTGAAGAATTGGTATTAATTCTTTAAATGTTTGCTAGAATTTACCAGTGAAATCATCTGGACCTGAGCTTTTCCTTTTGAGTAGGTTTGTTTTGTTTTGTTTTTAATTACTAATGCGATCTCTTTCTATATGTCTAGTCATATTTTCTATTTCTTCTCAGATCAGTTTTGGTAGTTTGTGCCTTTCTAGGGATTTTTCGATTTTATCTAAGTAATTTATTGGCATACAATTATTCATAGTACTCCTTTATAATCCTTTTTATTTAAGGTTTGTAGTGATGGTCTCTCTTTCGTTTGTGATTTTAGTAATTTGAGTCTCTTTTTTTTTCTTAGTAAATCTAGCTAAAGGTTTGTTGATTTTGTTGATCTTTTCAGAGAACCGACTTTTGTTTTTTGTTGATATTTTTCTATTGTTTTTCTTATCTCCATTTTGTTAATTTCTGCTTGCTTTAGCTTTAGTTTTCTCCTATTTTTCTAGTGTCTTAAGGTAGAAAGTTTGGTTATTGATTTGAGAACTTTCTTCTATGTTAGTACAGGCATTTACAACTCTGCAATTTCCTGTAAATCCTGCTTTAGCTGCATCCCATAAGTTTTGGTATGTTGTGTTTTTATTTCCAAGCTTCAAAAAAAAATATTTTCTAACTTCCTTTGTGATTTCTTTCATCTGTTTGTTACTTAAGAGTGTACTGTTTAATTTTCACATATTTGTGAAATCTCCAAATTTCTTTCTGTTATAAATTTCTAAATTTAATTCCCTTCTGTGTGGAGAACATACTTTGTATGATGTCCATTGTTTAAAAATTTATTGAGGCTTGTTTTATGGCTGAAAATATAATCTATCCTGGTGAATGTTCCATGCACAGTTGAGAAGAATGTATACTCTGTTGTTGGGTGGAATGTTGTATGGATATTTTTTAAGTCTAATTGGTTTACAGTGTTCTTTAGGTCTCATACTTCCTTGTGGTTTTTCTTGTTAATTTTCTAGATCTTGTTGATCTGCCTAGTTGTGGGGTATTAAAGTATCCAATTAGTATTGTTAAGTTGTCTGTTCCTCCTTTCATTTCTGTCAGTTTTTGCTTCATGTAGCAATTTCTGGTTTGAAATTCATTTGGAAATGTTGAGTATGCGCTACCTGTGAGATGTTGAAATGGAAAATGTCCAGTGGGCATTGAGAGTTCTGGAGGATATTCTGGAGAATAGAGTTGGGGGACTGACCAATAGATGGTTTTTACAGGAAGAAGAGGATGAAGAACAGGACAGGACCCCAAGGAACACAAAAATGAGAGGATTGTGCAAGAAGAGGAGAACAAGGCAATTGTTGCCATTAAAGCATTGTATTTACTTTCACTTATGAACGTACTGCTTCATTTGTTTATCATAAAACTATTTTCAAAGCCTTCTGTCTTCATTCTGGAAAAGACTATAAGCCATTTTATCCTCTCCATCCAATGTTGAAAGCAGCCTGGGTACAGTGGAAAGATCACCAGAAGCCCTGGTTCAGCCACTTTGTTGTGAAACTTTGGGTAAATCATAATTGTGGAACTCTTAGTTTATTCAGTAGCTAAAAGTATATGAGGGTTGTTTGTAGAGAAAATTAGAGTCATGTATATGAAAATGATCTGTAAACTGAAAAGCATTACATGATACTGTTTTGGTCATCTAATGCTGCTATAACAGAAATACCACAAGTGGATGGCCTTAACAAAGAGAAATTTATTTTTTCACGGTCTGGTAGGCTAGACATCCAAATTCAGGGCATCAGCTCCAGGGGAAGGCTTTCTCTGTCAGCTCTAGAGGAAGGTCCTTGTCATCAATCTTCCCCTGGTCTAGGAGCTTCTCAGCACAGGAACCTTGGGTCCAGAGGACACACGCTTAGCTCCTGGTGCTGCTTTCTTGGTGGTTTGAGGTCTCCCTGTCTCTCTGCTCACTTCTCTCTTTTATATTTCAAAAGAGATTGGCTTAAGACACTATCTAATCTTGTAGATCTCATCAATATAACTGCTGCTAATCCATCTCATTAACGTCATAGTGATAGGCTTTACAACACAGGGAAATCACATCAGATGACAAAATGGTAGACAGTCATACAATACCGGGAATCATGACCTATTCAAGTTGACAGATATTTTTGGGGGACACAATTCAATCCATGACAATATCAGTTAACATTTATTGATGTTTCTAGGTGCCAGGCTTTGTTTTAAAAGCTTACCTGAATGATCTCATTTACCTGTATTATCCCAAGTTCTGACTCTTTAATTCTCCTATCAACCCTAAGATTAAAAAAAAAAAAAAAAAAAGCCAGTTTAATACATTCCATGCCAATTCATAGTGATCCTTTAAGGAAGCCGACTACTACATCTTTCTCCTGCCACATCTTTCTGTCACATCTTTCTCCCTGCAGAGCGGCTGGTGGGTTCCAACCTCCTACCTTTCTGTTAGCAGCTTAGTGCTTAACCAGTGCACCTCCCGGGCTCCTGCCTTAAGATTCCAAAACCAAATCAAACCCATTGCCGACCAGTCCATTCCGACTCATAGAGACCCTACAGGACAGAATAGAACTGCCCCATAGGTTTTCCAAGGAGCAACTGGTGAATTTTAACTGCTGACCTCTTAGTTACCAGCCTGAGCTCTTCACCAGGCACTATTATTATCACTGTTTTACAAATGTGGAAACTAAGGCTCAGGGTGGTTAAATAACCTATCCAAAGTGTTAGAAGTGGTGAACTCTAAAATTTGTACTCTTAATCAGTTCACGATATATGAATGCATTTTTTTGTTGCGATTTTAATCACTTTAAAAAAAATTACAGAATGGAGGTAAATGTAAAATGGGGTTAACAATACCTCTAGTAGAGATATCAAGAGGATTAATTAGGCACTACATATTGAGAGCTAGTTATGAGAAATAGCAGAGGCTGGATCTCACTGTAGGCTGTCATCATTTGGGTTCCTACAAAGAAATGCTGGCCGGGGTAACGCGGGTGCGGAAGACCGCGGTGGGCTGCACGCACAGAGAGGACCTAGTGCGAGGAAATCTTGGAAATGCAAATGGAGAAATAGAAAGTACCGAAGTTAAACTTCGCCCGGGTCACAGTTTGCCTGGACCTGTCGTAGTCACTGTTTTTTATGAAGACATTGAGGCCCAATGCAACTCTAGATAAGGTCGTTTTATTTTTTCTCTGATAAACTCCCAGGAAAGGAGGAAAGACCACCTGGAGCCGTCTCCCATAGCAACCTGGAGGAGGCGTGGTCTGAGGAGTGGCTCCCTCCCCTTTCTCTCCATGTCGAACAATGATTGGTCTAGAGGCGAAGCGGGGGGCCGGGAGGTGGAACTAGGAGCCAAAGCTCTGGCTGGGCTGTGCCGCCATTTTGGATTGTGTGGCTGATTGGGACGTTTCGAGTGCTTCCACTCAGGTGCTTATAGCGGCTTCGCTCCGGGCCGTTCCGCAGATCACAGGCCGCGGCCCGCGTCCGAGTGTCAGGTTGGAGCCGGGAAGCGTGTCTGGGGGTAGCGGCGGGGGGGCCAGGATGAGCGCGGAGGCGGCAGACCGGGAGGCGGCTACCTCCAGCCGGCCCTGCACCCCACCGCAGACCTGCTGGTTCGAGTTCCTGCTGGAGGAGTCGCTGTTGGAGAAACATCTGCTCAAGCCCTGCCCGGGTAAGCGCTGCGCCCGCAGCTCGCAGGGCGCTGTTCGCTGCGCCTCCCGCGACCCGGCTCCTCAGACACCGAAGCTTCGGCCCGCAAGGCGCGGACAGGAGCCGAGCGCTGGCCAAGTCCCCCGGCTAAGCGTTAAACATCCCGGTGTGGGAGCACCTTAGTGGTGGTGGTGGTGGTGGTGGCGGCGGTGTCAAAGAGAAACAAAACAAAAGGCCGCCCGCCACCCCTCTCCCCCAGAGTGGCGGGCTCGGCGCCGTCAGCCCCCTGCTCCTTGGGTCCTTGCAAGTTGAGTCTTGTGGTTGCTTGGATTGGGGAGGCCGGCCCCTTTACAGAACCCAGGCTGTTAAAAATTGGGGGAGATGGGGAGAAATCAATTCTAAGGTCTGATTGTGACGCTAATTAATTTTATCTTAGGTTCTCATTTAACTGCTTTGTTCATCAATAAGATGTGACTAACTAATTATATTCCAAAGTTGGGCTGTAAATTAAATAAAATCTTGGAGAGCAGGAGATGCTATAGAGTTCTTCCACAAAAACCCATTGCCGTCGAGTCAATTCCGACTCATAGCGACCTTATAGGACAGAGTAGAACTGCCCCATAGGATTTTCAAGGCTGTAATCTTTACGGAAGCAAGAGTGCCATATCCATCTCCCGCAGAGCAGTTCGTGGGTTCAAACCCCCAACCTTTTAGTTAGCAGCGAGGGCTTAACCACTGCAAACCAGGGCTCCTTGCTATACAGTTAGAAGATGGCTAGTGTATTATGATGATCATGATTAATATGCCAGTGAAATCGGTGTTATTGGGAAGAAGGAAAACTCCAGGCATTTCTGGAAAGAGGTACTGGCATGAAAAGGTAAGTTCCTTGAATAGCATTCTGTTGATAGGGTCAAATCCAAATACGGTTTGTTCAGTCCAGCTGATGTAGACAACTGTGTGTGAAGTTAGTGGATTTTACTTGAGTAGTTTTACCACCTACATCATGTTTTTCTAATTCGTTCCTTTTGACAAACATTTTTTGAGTGCCTTCCGGGTGCCAGACACTGTGCTTATTGCTTCATCTTTGTTATTTAATTCAGTCGTCCTAATGATCCAGTGAGGTTGGTGGTATCAAACGCTATTTTGCATTGGAGGAAACAGGTGCAGAGAGGTAACTTGAGGGAGGCCCCACTTTTAAGTGTCAAAACAATGATTCTAAAGTCTGCATCTCTTTCCTCTAATTGGCATTGGTTGTTTGCTGAATTGGGAATCTGTAACCATTATGTGGCTTATTTAGGTAAATGTTCTTAAAGTGCTTTCTTCTACCTTTATCTGTTATGCCTTCCTCCTTACTCTTCCTCATCTTCCCCTTTAATGTTCCAGAGCACAGTTCTTATAAATCCTGTTCCTTAGTCATCATAACTATACAGCGGTTTTGATTCCTTTTGTGACCCAAAAACAATACAAAGCCTTTTGCATCTTCATAATTAAAACTTAATTTTAAGAATTTATTTTCTTTTAAATCCTAGATCCTGCACCAGTTCAGCTTATTGTTCAGTTTTTGGAACAGGCTTCGAAACCTTCAGTTAATGAGCAAAATCAGGTTCAGCCTCCACCTGATAACAAGAGAAATCGTATTTTAAAGCTGCTTGCTCTTAAAGTTGCTGCACATTTGAAGTGGGACTTAGATATATTAGAGAAAAGGTATACAAGATTTAAATAAAGTTTCTACAAGATTTAAATAAAGTTTCATTTGAAGTGTTATTTAGATATCTTGGTTCATTTCCATGTATATTTTTATGATTTACATATAGATGTATATATAAAATCTGTCTCTACAAACACATGCACCCTTAAGATGAAAATTATCTTTCTGTGTAGTCTTAATAAAATATACAAGTATTTTTCCAAAAGTATAAGAAAGATAAAGTATTTGAATGTTAGATGAATTTAAATGGCCCCATAATACAACATGACTAAAAAGCAGTGGTGTTAATTTTACTTATAAGTAGTGTTGATCAGATTCTAAGCTGTGAGCTAAATATTCTTTTAAACCATGAACAATGTTGTTAGTAATGAAGCAGTTTAATTTTTTTTGATGTGGTAACTAGAGAAAATTCACATCTAAAGTGCTTTTTTTCCTAAAGTGTTTTAAATATTTGTTTACTTTTGCATATCTGAAGAAAATGAGTGAAAATTAATTATGAGTTTTGCATAATATTATGGATATTTGCCAATGAATAATTCAGTTAATTTTACTGATCACGAAGAAATCACTATCTCCTAAGCTATTAAAATATTTTATTAGTATTGGTGATTATTTGTTTACAAATAAATACTTCCAAGGCTACTCTTAGAAAATACTTTATTTTCATCCCCTTCCCTAACAATTTAAAATGAAATACTTATTTACTATAGAAAGTTTGGAAAAATACAGCAAATAGGAAATAATAGGGAGAAGAGAAAAGTATTCTAAACATTTTTGTGTATTTTTTTACTCACGATAGTTTTAAACAGTGTTGTGGTTACACCTTGTATGCTCTTTTGATTTCTGGTTTTTGTTTGTTTTTTCACTTAATGGTATATCATGAACATTAAACCGTTTTATTTTTTGCAGATTATTCCCTTGTGTGGATAGTTTATTAATTATTCCTCCATTGACAGTAGTTTAGTTTGTTTCCAGTTTTTCACTGTTATAAATCACAGGGTCTTAAATATGTTTGCCAATAAGCTTTGTATTTTGAGTTATACCCTTACTATAGATTTTTAAATTGCTGGGTCATGTGATACAAGCATCTTTAAGCCGTATGATTCATATTACCAAATTGCATTCCAAAGAGCTGTACGAATTTGTACTCTCACCAGTAGTCATTAAAAATAAATAAGTAGAAACCTTTTCACCACATATTCTCCAGCTTTAAATATTAGAATTAAAAAAAATGGAAAAAATGTTTTATTCTTTAATCTGTAGGAGGAACTTACAGATTCAGACTCGGCAGATCAGCAGATAGCAGTGTGTACAAAAAAGTATGATGTATATGTGACAATTGGAAAATTGAACATTAATTGTATATTTGGCCATAATAAGCAGTTATTAAATTTTTAGCTGTGAAATTAATACAGTGGTTAGGTTAAGAGTTAATTTTTTGGACACATTTTGAAATACTTATAGAAAAAATGGTTTAACATTGGGGATTTGCTTCAAAATCATATAGGAAGGAGGTAAAAATATAGATGAAGTAAGATTGGCCATCAGTTGTTAATTATTGAAGCTGGATGATGGATGGGTATGTGGGAGTTTATTATGTTTGTTCTGTCTGTTGTTGTTTTGTGCTGCTGAATCAGTTCCCACTCATAGTGACCCTCTTTGGCAGAGTAGAATTGCCCTGTAGAGTTTCCTAGGCTATAATCTTTACAGGAGCAGATCTCTAGGTCTTTTCTTCCACGGAGCTGCTGGGTGGGTTTGAACTGTTGACTTTTCAGTCAGCAGCCAAGAGCTTAACTGTTGCGCCATCAGGGCTCCTTTATTCTGTCTACTTTAGTATATGTTCACATGTTTTTATAATAAAAGTTTTATATCTTTCAAGTTTAATAGGTAGATGTATTTTCATTTAAGTTGTTGAGGTTTAGAGTAATAAAATGACCCTGAATAATTAGTTTTTTAACAATGTAGTGAACATACTGAATTATGTATTTTTTGATTTTTAGACAGCTAATGTACAGACATATACCTTTTCTTCCCTTTTTTTCTTTTCTTTTTAAGTTTATCTGTTCCAGTATTGAATATGCTGCTCAATGAACTCCTCTGCATCAGTAAAGTTCCTCCTGGGACAAAGCATGTAGACATGGATATAGCCACTTTACCTCCAACCACTGCCATGGCTATCCTTCTCTACAATAGATGGTAAATTTTTTATAAACCCAGAATGTATCGGGCATGCTCTGTCTAATTGTGCAGGGGTTTTCAGGGGTATCTTTTTAAGGGGTCCCTTCTGCTTCTGAGATCTCTCAGAGGGTCTTGGGAACTGTGAGTCTGATGATGGAGAAGATTTCTGTGACTGCATAGGTGAATAGCATTCTGATAAAAAGTGATGATTTATAAAGTGTTTATTTTATGTTAATTAAAACTTCAGATAATTTGTAATGCAAACCTAAGAGGTACTTGAAGAGATAATTGAAGTCATATTTATAATGTATTAAGTTTCCTTTTTCCTGTCTTTTCTTCAGGGCGATTAGGACAATTGTTCAAAGTAGTTTTCCCGTCAAACAGGCGAAACCTGGACCCCCTCAGTTAAGTGTGTAAGTTGGCAGATATGAACTTTACTTGGCATTTCTTTTCATCAGAATTTAAAACGATTTGCAAGTTTTTAGTTATTCCTGGTATAGAGGAAGTAGAGCAGAAATCTGAGGGCAGAAAATCTGCATGAAAGGTTTGTTTGGAGGACTTGGGTCAGAGAATCAGGTAGTAGTCTATCTGATAACCAATTACTGTCAAGTTGACACAAACTCATGGTGACCCCATGTATGTCAGAGTAGAAGTGCTCCATTGGGTTTTTAATGGCTGATTTTTCAGAAGTAGATCAGCAGGCCTTTCTTTCAACATGCCTCTAGGTGGACTCAAATCACTAGCCATTTGGTTAGCTGCCAAACAGGTTAACCATTTGCATCACCCAAGGATAACTGTTTAGATATCTAGAGTAGAGAGCTCAGAAAAAGAATGGGAGTACTTTTTGAATTTTGCTGTTCATCTTGATAAGTATTAGCTGATGTGCTTAAAAGTATTAAGATATTTTTCATTTAATTAAATTACTTTGAAGAAGATACATTTGTTCTATATTAATATATGTAAATATTTGTTTCGGATCTGGTTAATTACAATACTTGACAAGAAAAATGAAGGGTTCTTAGGGGGAAATTCTGCCAAAGTCAAGAAGGATTAAAACTTAGAATTGACTTAAAAATCATCATTGTCCATCAGTACTGTGTAAAAGGTTTTCACATATCTTTAACTGACGATAGGTTTCCTCTTTTTTTTTTTTTTAAAGTTTGATCATATCTGCAATTTTAAGCCTGATTCTCAAATTCCAGTAGCCGCTTACCCAAATTGTGGAGCTAGAGCACATGGGTTTTAATTTGATATAAATGAGCTTTTGTCATCCGTAAGTTTTAACTGTTAATAATGCTTTCGTGGACTGTGGGACTTATGTTGCCCACCTACATTTTCTGCCTTTGAGGTTTCTTGGGAAGCTGCTTTCCCATTTATAGTGCATGCTGCTCCAAGGCGAGGACCTGTATAACTTTCAAACAGAAGAAATGGGCATATGACACAAATTACTGTTTTTACAGGGTATTTTATGAGGTGGTGCTGAATCGGTATTTTTGGTGGGTAAAACATGAATTTTGCAAAACTTATTCGAGACACATATGTCTCTCTGGACTCGGGGGGGTAGAATTGGGGGAGCACATATGTGCCTTTGGACTCTGAGGGTAGGATTGGTGGGATGAGGCAAGAAAAAAATCCATACCATCTGTCAAAAATTCAGACACACTTAATGATTCAGCATGTATTCCATTAATGAAGACACATGGGATCAACAAAAAATTCAAAGCAGAAAATAATTAGATCTTGAAAGGGTAAATTGAGGTGTGTGTGTGTGTTTCATGCAAAGCAAATAAAGCAATGGAAAATAAATGAGCATCAAAATGATTTTTTCTGCTTTGTTTTTTAAGCATGGAAACGGATAGCATTCAAAAAATACTTTTACCTAAATTGAACCTTACTAATGTTGCTCTTAAGTATTGAATTCTCAGTCTTGTGAGTAACATTTGATACTCTTCTTTTCAATCATTTCTTTTAGTATGAATCAGATGCAACAGGAGAAAGAGTTAACAGAAAATATTTTGAAAGTGGTGAGTATTAGCATCAGTTATACTTTAACATTTCTGAAACACATTGAGAGCATGTTTAGGTGCTTCTTCTAATCATAAGTATATGAGAGCTGTTAAGGCCTAGAGGCATGACATTTAGGTTTTTACTGTTAGAATATGGCTAGGCTTTTATTGATCATATGGTTCTAAATCATACAGGTATTCAGCTTTATTGGTAGAGAGCTTTACCACTGGTTCCGTTGTTGAATACTTCACAATAATTGTAATAGGTATGAGAAATCGATCTTACAGATAATGTCTACATATTCTTTAGTATTTTCCAAAATATCTACAGTAAACATGTATTACTTATACTTTTTAATTACTTTTATAAACAGAAAAATACAGCAGTTATTTTTAAAATTGATTTAGTTAGTGTAAAAGTAGAAATGTGGGAGTGTTGTAAAACTTTTAAATGGTCTCTAATTCTTATAAATACCTACAGTGTGCCAGAGAGATGATGTAAGATATGAGGCCAGGGAAGGAGAGGGAAGATAAGAAACTGTATGCACATGTAACAAATTTGCCATAGCAGTTTGAATATAGAAGCAAAAAGCCTGCATCTTTTTATTTGTGTTAGCCAGTGCCTAGTAAGGAGCCCTGGTGGCGCAGTGGTTAAGAGCTCAGCTGCTGACCAAAAGGTCAGCAGTTCAAATCCACCAGCCTGCCCTTGGAAACCCCATGGGGCAGTTCTGCTCTGTCCTATAGGGTTGCTATGAGTTGGAATCGACAGCAGTGGGTTTGGTTTGGTTTTGATAGTGCCTGGTACAGTGCTGCATACAAATATTTTTTGAATAAATCAAATGGAACGATACAAATCTTTAAAGCATTTTTATTCATTCTTAAATTTTTCCATAGTGGAAAAAAATCAATCTTTTCCTCTTTGTATTTTCTAGCTTTATAATAGGAACTTACTGTAGTATTTTCTCTCATTTAAGATCATTTTATTTCAACAAATTTAATTGTACTCTTGCTGTGTTAAATTTTTTTTTTAATAGCACAGTATGCTAAGTTACTAAGTATCCTGTAAATATTCTTTGGTTCGTGTGGTCAGTTACTGCTATTGTATTTTAATGATTTGCTTATTGAATATTTGTAGCTCAAAGAACAAGCTGCTGATTCTATTTTGGTGCTAGAGGCTGCCCTTAAATTAAACAAGGATCTTTATGTCCACACCATGAGAACTCTAGATTTATTGGCCATGGAGCCAGGCATGGTAAATGGAGAAACTGAGAGTTCTACTGCTGGATTGAAAATCAAAACTGAGGAAATGCAGTGCCAGGTATTTATTTTAGTATTTAATCAGTGCATGATAATTTTTGAGGAGAAAATCTTATATGCAATCATCTTAGGATTTTAGAATTTGTTTCTGCCTTTGTCTTTTTGATTTTGACTTAAGATGCTATTTAACCTGTTGCCTCTGAAATAGTTTCCCACTTGTATTTAGGAGACAGAGTTTAAGTACTGAGAATGCAGTGATTATATAACTGATTTGTAGTTCGTTCATAGAATTAGAAATCTAATTAGACCTAAGAAAAATAAAGCCCCCCAAAACTAATATTGTACTAGACTTGGAAAAAATGTGGTCCCTAGGGAAAATGCCTAGCTTTACAGGGATCTTTAGATTGCCTGCTTTCTGTAAGTCTGGGCTCTAGTTCCTTTGGCAGCTTTCAGTTGATGTTTGTTGTTGGATATTATTTTATGTTTTCTTTTTCCCTGCTAGGTTGTAAACTTTTTGAGGCCTCTTTTTTTTTTTAAAAAAATATGTATTTTGCATCTTCTTCATTTTCTAGCACAAAACTTTGAATGTAATAGAAATTTAAAAATAATTGTTCCCTACAGAGCATTACTAGAATAGTGTCTTTTAAACTGTATTCTCCTTCCTTAGTTGTATGAATTGGCATGGCGCCTTTAATCACTATTTCCCATTTTGAAAGAGGCAGAAGTAGCTGTAACAGTGTTGGGAAGGTGCCTTTTTAGATTAGATCATTCTATAGCTGAAGGTAATCGTTTTTTTCAGACCTGAAGAGATGAAAGTTGCAGTAGGAGTAATGAAGTTTTGACACTTGAAAACCCCTTTACATTATTGATGAAACAATGTGTGGGAGGGTTTCTGGTACTGTAGTATCTCATAATCTCTGAGAGTCTGTTTAAAAATTATCAGTATCACATTGGATTATCACAATATGGCGACTGATATGACCTGAAATAAACCAACTCCTAGAAAACACCTGTATGTGCTAGGTAAACTTTATCAAATAGTCTTCTAATTACATAGCTGAGTTTACATTTTCTGTTTTTTGAATGACAAATTAGTAGTAATACTCACTTCCTGGCATATGCAGATTTAAAGAGCATTTTTTGTTAGAATTTAGCTAAGACGAAAAAAAAATCTGTAAATTTTCCCCCACTAAAACCGAAAGCGTTACTGTCTTTTAGGACATTATCAAGTTTTTTGTTTTCCTACATTTTGTTTTTAACTTATTGATCACCTCTTAATTATAGAATTTAAACTCATTTTAATGTCTAGTCAGTAAAACTTGATAGTATCTTTTTGATAACTTTGTGTTGTCTTTCCCTAGAAAGGGAAACTGTATATAATTATATATATCATACATAATTATTCCTTTAGCCCTCCTTCCCCCACAGATGGGAAGGGTTCTCTAGAATGGAAATCAGCCAAACATTTATGGTGGACTAAATACTTCAGAGCAGTGTTCTAGAGGCTAAGGGGAATTATCTTCTTGATTCATGGAACAGGACAGAACGGTATCTATAATGCTTGTAAAGAATGGTTCCATAATAAGTACCAGAGACTATTACAGCTTAGGAGTTTGGAGGAGGACTAGGTATCTGTTGGCTCAGATAAACGGAGATCAAGGGGTGTGGAATGAAGCTCATTTCTAGGATATGACGTGAATGGAGAATTGAGGAGAATGGCCCTGGTGGCGCAGGTGGTTAAGCGTTTGGCTGCTAAGCAAAATGTCGGCAGTTCGAATCCACCAGCTCCTACTTGGAAACCCTATGGGGTGATTCTGCTGTGTCCTGTAGGGTTGCTATGAGTTGGAGTCAACTCAGTAGCAACAGGTTTGTTTTTTTTGGGGACGTGATTGAAACTGAGAGAATAGAGATACTTGGAGAGAGAAGTTAGGCGAGATTATAAGGTCCTTAAAGAATAGGTCAAAGAGTTTGAGCTTTATCCTGTTTATGGGAAAATTGAAGACTTTCTAAGAAAGTCAGATCAAGAAGACTGATCTGTCAGCTGTTTGTAGAATAAACTTGAGACACGGTATATTTATTAGTAGCCCAGAGATCTGAGTTCAAGCCTGGGCTCTGTCACTTCTTGGTTATATGCTTTTACATAGACATGTCACTTTCTGGGCCCCAGTATTCTTATCCATAAAAACGACTGGGTTGAACCAGTCTGAGGCAGCTTTTGGTTCTGACATTCAGTGAATCTAGGCTTCAACTTAGGAAAGCTCTTTGAAAAATATACGGATTCCACTATTAGAGATACACAGTTGGAAAAGTACAAAAATTTTATCATCATTAATTTAAATTTCTTAGTATTTTACTCTAGCTAGTCCTGTTAGGGTAGATATTTATCTCCCTCCCCACCCTACCCCCACACCTTTTGGGGAGCTCCTCACATCTGTTCCCCTCTACTGTGTTAGAACAACTCCCTACCTTAGACTTTCGGTGGGAGGCAGAATCTGTTGCCTATAATAGAAACTAAATACTCCAATACTACCTCTCTCAAGCCTCTTCCTGCTGGAGAGCGCCAAGTCACATACGTTTGTCAGATACATTTAGTTCAGATGGTGAATCAGCTAGTAAGTCAAAGAAGTGGGGATGATAGAGAATCCATTTTGATGGTGGGTAGCAGCAACAGTGACAGTAAAATCTAGTTTTAGGAGAAGCACTAGCAAAAGTGTAGCTGCTGTTTCCAGTGACTAGGGTTGGTGGCTGCAGATGCTATAAGCTGTGGAGTCTGGTGCTGAGATTGGCTGCAGCAGTATCTTCACTAGACCAGTTTTGGCTCTCATCCTGGCTGCTGGCCTCCCTTGCTCCTTTTGCTTTTCAAGTGTGAATCTTTGACCTTTCTAATAATTCTGTAGGCTACCTGAAATCTTATCAATAAATTTTTCTGCTTAAACCATTGAGAGTTGATTTCTGTTGCTTGGAACTAAGAACATTGATTGTTTCACTGCTCATTAAAATATATATTTTTCTATGTACGTACCTGTGTTTTGCTGAGGTAGAGACAGTTTTGAGTTGTGTCAGCTCCTAATTAAATGCATGAAAAATTACTCAGCAAATTGATACTCATTACCATTTCAGGTGTGTTATGATTTGGGTGCAGTATACTTCCAGCAAGGCTCTACAAATTCAGCTGTCTATGAAAATGCCAGAGAAAAATTTTTTAGAACCAAAGAACTAATTGCAGAGGTAAATACAGTCATAACAGGCATGTAATATTCAGTCTCTTAAAACATCTGTATATATTTTGGCTTTTATTTTTTTAACGATTAAGAAAAGTTGATTGTAGTAAATTTGTGAAGTTCAAAAATGTATTAAAAACTGGTTTTAAAAAAATGTATAATGTTACCTGGAAAGTAATCCCTTTTGGCATTTTAACTCATTTTTTTCTGTTTTTTGTTGGTTTGTTTTCTGTGTGTTTTTATACAATTAAATTCATAACTATACATACTATTTTTTGTCTTGCTTGAACATTGGAATAGATATTTTAAACGTATCATATTCAATTATTATTTACTATGATTACTTCATCTTCTTAATGTTTGGGCATTTAGGTTTTCAGTTTTTATTTATTATAAAGCTGCAATATTTGTGTCTCCAAGCATGAATCTTTGTTGGGATTTTAGATACTTTTTCAAGTTAGCATCCTACAAGTAGAATTACCATGTCAACAGGTATTACTGTTTTAACAGCTGTAATACTTAAAATCAGATTGCTTCCCAGGTACTTATCTCAGTAGCACTTTAATCAGCAGTGAGTGTAAAAAACAAAAACAGAAACTTTGCTAATTTGATGGGTGAAAAATACATTCTTTTATAAATTTGCATTTCCTTAATTACTAGTAAGGGTAAAACTTTTTCATGTGTTTACATTTGCATTTTCTTTTAATGATTCAGACAACTGAATTTTAAAGTACATAACTAGGTTTTTGTATGCCTGATGCCTAGAAAAATTACCATTTCAGTCTGTCTTTTCCTCACCAGAAAAATCGATTAAATGCCATAGAGATATATCTTAGACTTATCCTAGACCCATTGGGAACCCCCCTACTTTACTTTGCCTGGGGAAACTCATCAGATTTCTAATTTTATGGCTTTTCAGGTATAGTAATTTAAAACCTTCATTATTTTTTCAAATGTGTCTTAAAAAAAAATCTTCTGGTAGAAGCATTTCTAGTCTTTCTAGTTAAGTGAAGATTAAGGGTTTCATTTGCTCTCCCTACCCTCACCCATTAAATCTGCTTGTTATATGTATTTTTGCAAATTTTAAGCTTATTTTTGACAGTGTTCACTCTTTGTTAATCATTGTCTTAATTGTCATACCTACTTCTGATGGTAATAATGTCTGTCTTTTAGATGTTGACCTGAAAACTCTAAGCCAGGGGTCGGCCGACTTTTTCTGTAAAGGACCAGATAGTAAATATTTTACACTTTGTGGACCACATACCATCCCTCTCGCATTTGTCTTTTTTTTTTTTTTTCTCTTTTACAACTCTTCAACAATGTAAAAATTGTTCTTAGCTCAAGGGCTGTACAAAAACAGAAAAACAGGCCATATTTGGCCTGAGGGCGGTAGTTTGCTGGCCCCTGCTTCAAACCTTTAAACTGTTCATTTTTTATGGTTCATCCAACCTTGAATTTTTCATTATCATTATCTTGTACTGTTAAGATGCCCTACATGGGTGCTAGCATATTGTTTATGTTACATTAATGGATAATGGTGTATACCCTCTTACTTTACAGATAGGTTCATTATCTCTTCATTGTACCATAGATGAGAAGCGGTTAGCTGGCTATTGTCAAGCATGTGATGTTCTTGTACCTTCTTCTGACAGTACATCTCAACAATTGACTCCGTATAGTCAAGTCCATATTTGTTTGAGATCTGGCAACTATCAGGTAAGATATATGATGGGGATGCAGTGGTATAGTTTGAAAGTTTTAGAAACCAGACAGAACAGAACTGAATTCAGATCCTGGTACCACTGTTGACCAGTTGTGTGATTTGGGGCAAGTCATTTAAACTGTCAGACTGGCATATGATAATTAGCCTATTTCATAAGACTCCTAGGAGAATCAAGTGAAAAGTGATAGTTATAAACTCAAAGGCAAAGCACTGTACTGATGTTAGTTTATTATTATGACAGTAGCCTTTCTTAAAAACAAGGTGTAGAGTTTGCCCATTTTAAATAAACTCGGTAAGAAACTCTAAGCAGAACTTTTAACTTTTAAAATTACAGGTAGATAACTTTTAGTTTTATAGAGCCCGAAGTCTTGCGTCTGTTTTGAAAAGTATGGCCTTGTAGCCCAGCCTTATTAGATACCTCAGATATTAAGACCATAGGAGAAAGTGAGAAACATGGTGTTGCTAGGTTTAGATGGTCTGTTTCAGAGCCCAGCTTGCCGTTGAGCCTGGTCATCATCTCAGTTTTACTCACTAAAAAGAGTATTAATTAATCTGAGATTTTTACCCCCTCTGGGTACATATCTTTGGTTTTAGAATGAAAATTAGAATTTGTGCTTTTAAAATCTTCATGGGAAAGCCCTCTTTCTAGAGAGTAGACAGTGCCTTCGTGTTATTTAATTCAAAATAGGAATCATGAAATGACAAAGCTGTAGCACACTTTTGAGTTTTGTGTCTCCAGGTGGGCTTTTGGCTCAGCTCTGTAGTTCACTCTTCTCATCTAGAGTTTATTTTTTTAACAGAAAATAGTGAAGAGACGGGGCTAACACCTCTCCACCTCTGCCCTAATCCTTTATTCAAATTCCGCACTTTGCCCTGGGGAAGAAAATTTAACTTTGTTGAGATGGATGAGAGATACAGATGGATTTAGTGAAAACTAGAGATCTTTTAGTTACACCTACCTAGTAGGAGCTTATGGAGGGTTATGACAAGATACAGATTCTTTCTTTAAGATGCTCACTGGAGGGGTAAGACTTGTGCAAACAAGACCTTAGAAATGTTATGCATAGACAGACACATCTTACTATGAATATAATGAAGTGCCAAAATAAGGAAACCAGAAGACAGTGTGATGGTTAACTAGGAAGGAGAATATAGCAATTTTGTTGCAATTTTGAAGTTTATTACTTTAGTTCTGGGTGCAGGACTATCTTAGGAAAATGTTTAGTCTTTTATTTAAGTAGGATTGTCTTTATGTGAACTGTATAAAATTTTTTGTTGTTTTAATTGATCAAACAGTAGTTGAGCAACTGTAGCAAATGTGTCTTCTCACATTTGGGAAGTGACTGTCTTTTCCTCAGTGTAGCCCTGCATTGCTCATGTTTTGCTATTGAGGTGACAGTCAGTCCTCTGTAGTTTTGAAACCACTTTTGTTAGTACTTTTGCTGTAGCAGCTGGTTAGCTTTAACTGTTTCCAGAAATCCTCCTCCCTGTCTCCTACACCATTAACCCTTTTTTCTCTCCTCTTCTTCCATTCCTTGAGAAAGAGCTGAGAAAAAGTCTCTATGTAATGATATGTGTATTTGATGTAATTCACTAAGTAATGTATTTTAAAGCATTTAAATTCATTAGAATAATTTTTAGCGTATTTTTTTCACTAGCTGAATTATTTTAAATTAAGTGTTTTAGTATTTTAGAGTTTTTTTCACATGAATCTGTTTAGGGTGGATTAGAAGAATATTTTAAAATTCTCTTTTAATCATATAGCTGAATTACCTTTTTTTTTTAATTAAAGTTTTTTTTTTTTATCATACTTCAGGTGAAGGCTTACAGAACAAATAGTTTCTCATGAAACAGTAGTACACATGTTGTTTTATGACATTGGTTAACAACCCCACAACATATCAACCTTCTAACTTCTCTGCCTTTTTTTTTGGTGAAAATACACATAGCCAAAGATACACCATTTCAAAAATTTCTATGTGCACAGTTCAGTGACATTGACTACACTCTTCCAATTGTGCTGTTATTCTCACTTAAGATGAAGGCTTACAGAACAAAATAGTTTCTCATTTAACAGTTACTACAAATGTTGCCCTATGACAATGGTTAACAATCTCACAACACATCAACAATGTCCTTACTCAACCTTGGGTTCCCTATCACCAGCTTCCTTGTCCCCTTCTGCCTTCTGGCCCTTGTCACTGAACTCCTGTACCTCGTTAGCCTCATTTGGTTTTACGGGGCTGTCCGCTCCCAGGCTGAACAGTGAACCTCGGAGGTAACTTCACCACTAAGCTGAAAGGGTGTCTGGGGGCCATACTCTCGAGGTTTCTCCAGTCTCCTTTAGGTCAGTAAATCTGGTCTTCTTTTTGTGAGTTAAAGTTATGCTCTACATTCTTCTCCAGCTCTGTCCAGAATCCTCTGTTGTGATCCTGGTCAGAGCAGTCAGTGGTGGTAGCCGGGCACCATTTAGCTGTACTGGACTCAGTCCGGTGGAGGCCTTGGTAGCTGTGGACAGTTAGTCCTTCGGACTGATCTTTTCCTTGTATCCTGTTCTCTTCATTCTCCCTTGCTCTCGAAGGGATGTGACCAGTGGAGTATCTTAGATGGCCGCTCGCAGGCTTTTAAGACCCCAGACACTACTCACCAAGGTAGAATGTAGAGCATTGTCTTTATAAGCTGTGTCATGCCAGTTTAGCTAGATGTTCCCCGAGACCATGGTGAATTGCCTCTTAATTCCTCCCTCAGTGCTCATTTTGGCTCCATGAGCTTCAGTTTTTTAAAAAAGGCTATTTTTTTACCCTTAATTTTAAAATTTTAGAAAGAGAAGGTTTTCTTAGTTAAGATATATCTATAATTTTCTTCAACTTGTACTTTCCATTGTAGAAAAACTTTTTTTAAGAAAAGAAACTTAGCAATAATTTTTGAAATGATGCCTTTTTGTGTATGTGTTCTAGGAAGTAATAAAGATTTTCACCGAAGATAACTTAACGTTTAGTTTACCTGTCCAGTTCCGACAGTCAGTACTAAGAGAACTGTTTCAGAAGGCTCAACAAGGGTAAGTAAATTGAAGAATTACTTACTGATTTTTGAATAAAAGAGCAAGTGCTTTTCTAGTTTTATCAGAAACATATCTCTAAACTACCTACGAGTCTGACAGTGACTTCGCTTTTGTTAATGTAAGGGACACTACCATAGCCAGAGAAGCCACTCTCATGTTCATCTAATCTGTTTTAAAAGCTCTTGGGAAAAAATTTTATACATAACAGAATTCCATTCTATTACTTAATCTGTAATTAAATGATTCTATGATAAATTCAAGTCCTTTTTTCTTCCCCCTGAGTTGGCATGTGGAATTTACCGGTATACTTGAATATCCTAAAATCTCACTTCTCAAGAATAAATGGCTCATTCTTGTGATTTTAGTTTTGCAATATACACCTTTTCTTTTATAGTTAAAGTAATATTAGTGGATCTACTTTTGTATTCTACAGAAATGAAGCTCTAGAGGAAATCTGTTTCAAAGTCTGTGCCTGTAACACAGTCCGAGATGTATTGGAAGGTAGAACAATTAGTGTTCAATTTAACCAGCTATTTCTTAGATCTAATAAAGAGAAAATAGACTTTCTTCTTGAGGTAAGACATTATTTACCCCTTTTGATTTATAATTTTGTGTTAAGCATACCAGTGACCTCTATATTGCCAAATCCAGTGCCCTCTTTAAAGTCTTCATCTGATTTGCCTGCACCTCTGTGACTGATGGTTGACACTGCTGACAGACTCTTTTCTTCTGTCTTGTCTTCTGGTATCACTGTTTTTTAATTCTTCTCCATCCTTTGTTGGATTTTCTGTAATCCTTCATTAACTTCTCTCTTGCTCTCCCTGTAGTGTTTTTGTTTAGAAAAGTTTTGTCCTTGACTCAGTCATCTTCTCATATCATTTTTAATTCTCATCCAAAGCTTTAGTAATCACCTGTTTACTAAAAACTCCCAAATCATATCTCTAGCCTCTCATGTGAGCTCGAGAATCTTCCTACTAAATCTCTCTACCACTTTCTTTAACATTCTTTAAATTTTGAAATAATTTATAATACATGTTGAGAGAAGTACATACAGCACAAATACACCAGTTGGTTCTAAAAACACCAGCACTCTGGAAGCCCTTTTTATGCCCTTTACCAAACTCCCTTTTACTTGAGAAAACCAGTGTCCTGGCTTCTGTGATAATCATTTCCTTGCTTTTCTTTACAGTTGTATCACCTTTATGTGCACTTTTAAAAAGTAACTTTAATTTGCCTATTTTGAACTTCATATAAATGGAATCATAGAATATGTATTCTTTATCTTCTTCCACTCAACATTATATTTTGAAATTTATTCAAGTTTTTGTGTATAGATACTTTTTTTTTTTTTTATGACCATGACACAATTTATCCATTCTTATGATGGCGGACATTTGGATTGTTTATGGTTTTTGACTGTTATGCTACCTGGAAAATACTTGTGCATGTATGTACCAGTTTGTCTGTGATATATACCTAGGGAAAATGTATCTGCAAAAATACTAGGTAATATCAAAGTGGTTAGACCAATTCATATTCCTGTCAGCATGCATGAGAGTTTTTACTGGTTGACATTCTTGCCAATACTTGGTATTGTCAGATTTTCCTGACGGTTGTGCAGTGGTATGTCTTTGAGGTTTTAATTTCCAGTTTCCTTGTTACTAAGGAAATATAATTTCCCTTTTTTTGCTCATAGGAGTTTAATCTTTTGAGGTACGTGTTCTAAGTGTTATGCTTCATTTTTCTATTCGATTGTCTTGTTTTTTTAAATATATGCTGACCTTTATTATTTTTAAATATTGCAGGTATCTTCTCTGAGTTTGACTTCTGTTTTAACTTTCTTTATATCATTTCGAAAGCTCTTAATGTAATCAACTTTATCAGTCTTTTCCTTTATGATTAGTGATTTCTGTATTTAAGAAAACTTTTCCTATTCTGAAGTCATGAAGATAGTCTTCTGTTTTATCTTTTAAAAGTTTTATAGCTTAGTCTTCCTTTCTGTGCAGTTTTTTTTTCTTTTTTTTTTGGTATCATGTAAAGTGTAGGGGTCTGATGTAATTTTTTTTCCCACATATGACTGCACAGTTGTTCCAGCACCATTTATTGAAAGGTCCATCTTTTTTCAACCGACAGTGTCACCGCTATTGTATGCCAAGTTCCCATATATGTGTTGGCCTATTTCAGGGCTGACTATTCTACTTTTCTATTTGTCTGTATGTCGATATCCCTATGTCTTGATGTCATCTAGAGCAAGTCCTCCTACCTTGCTTTTCAAGATTGTCTTGGTTTTTCTTCTCCTTTGCATTTTCATGTAAACTTAAGACTCAGGTTGTCAAGTTCCACAAGTAGGCATGTTGAAATTTAGTTTGGAATTACATTAAATATAAAATTAATTCTTCCCAATTTGGAAAGAATTAATATCTTTACAGTAATCAGTATTCTAATCCATGAACTAGTATAGTATGACTCTTGATTTATTTAGGCATTCTTTTGTGTCCTTCAGAGTTTTATAATTTTCCCATAGAAGTCATACATAAAATAGTTTATACATTGGTATAGAGGTATGATTAAACTTTGTATAATAATTTTGTATCCAAGAACTTTTCTAAACTCTTACAAATTCTAATAATTTGTCTGTAAATAGTTTTGTTTTTCTAAATGTACAGTCTATTTGTGAACAATAAATTTTGTTGTTTTTTTTTTTTTCCTCCGTTTTCTAACCTTTTGCTTGTTATTTCTTTTGACTTATTTTGTTCTTGCTATGCTGGCTATGATCCCCAGTAGAGTGTTCAGTAGAAGTGACAGTAGTGGGCATCTGGTCTCATTCTTAGTCTCAGAGAGAAAGCTTGCACTGTTTCCATTAAGAATGATGTTTATTGTAGGGTTTTTTCTTTTTTGTACATAACTCACTATCAGATGAAGGAAGTTCCCTTCTATCCTTAGTTTGCCGAGAGTTGTTTTTTTGTTTTTCCTTTTAAATCATGAGTAATTTTTAAGTTTTATTAAATGCTTTTTTCTGTGCCTACAGAGATGATCATATAATTTTCTCCTCTAATCTGTTAATATGGTGAAATACATTAATTGATTTTCAAGTATTAAACTACCTTTACATGTCTGGAATAAATCCATCTAGGTCATCATCTTTCTAAATCTATATTGCTGAATTTTGTTTGCTAGTATTTTAAGATTTTTTATACTTATATGTGAGATTGATGTGTATATTTTTTCTTTCTTGTCCAATCTTGATTTTAGTATCAAGTTCATGCTTGCCTAATAAATAAATTGAGGCGTGTATCTTCTTTCTTGTCGCCTAGAAAAGCTTATGTGAAAATGGAATCACTGCTTCTCTTAGTGCTTGGTAGAATAGACCAGTGAAGCCACCTAGGCCAGGAGATTTTTTTGTACGAAGATTTTTGATATTATTTGAATTTTGTCAGTGATTATAGGGCTATTCTGTTTTTCTCTAATTAATTTTGCAGTTATTTTCAGAGAATTTGTCCACATCATCTAAATTTTTAAATTTATTAGTATTAAAGTTTTTTGTTATCTGTATTTTATCTTTTTCTAAATTAAATAACTTTTTTTGTATTGACCTGAGATTCACATAACATAAAATTAACCATTTTAAACTGAGCAATTCAGTAGCATTTACTGCATTCACAGTGTTGTGTAACCACCATATCTATGTAGTTCCAAAATATTTTTATCATTCCTAAACGAAACCCTATACCCATTAAGAAGTTGCTCCCCATTTCACTGCCCCACCCCAGCCTCTGGAAATGACCAGTCTGCTTTCCGTCTCTATGGATTTGCTGTTCTGGATATTTCATATAGTTGGAGTCATACAAGATGTGGCCTTTTGTGTCTGACTTCTTTCACTTAGCATAATGCTTTCAAGGTTCATTCATCTTGTAGTATATTCAGTACTTTATTCCTTTTTAATGCCAAATAATATCCCATTTTATGTATATACCACAGTTTGTTTAATTTAAATAACTTTAAAATGAATAAATATTTCAGAATCCACAGAAAAGTTTAGATGCTGATGCAATAGACCATACCTACTACTTAGGTTAACCATTAAGATTTTGCTATGTTTGCTTCATATCATTTTATCTGTGTTAAGAAACAAAACATTACAGATGCTATGGAACCCTTCCTCCAATCCGTCTCCTGCCATCCTCTTCCCAATGGCATGAACTATCCTAATGATGATCTGTACTCTTCCCTTTAATATTCTTGTACTTGTAATATATCTCTGTATATTTATAATGTGTAATACTGTTATGTGCCAGAGGCTGTTCTAGACACCAAGCGTATTAACAGTAAACAAAACAGAGGAACTTCTCCCTTCATAGAATCTACATTCTATATAGGGATATGTGTAAAACTAGCTTATTGATTTTTTTTTTAACTGTAATATATTGCTGTTTGTTAAACATACAGTTTATCTTTTTATCGGCTGATAAACGCTTAGATTGTTTTTAGAATTTCTCTGTTACCGTCAGGGGTATAGTGAACATCTTTTCTAATCCCTTGTGTGACGAGGTTACATGTCTAGACGTGGAATTCCTAGATTGTACAATATTTTTATATTCAATTTTTTAAAAATTTTCTCCGATACAAAAATTTACTACATACATTACTTTGTGACTCTAATTGCTCTCCCCATACTGTGACAGCACATTCCTCCTTTCCACCCCTGATTTCCCATGTCCTTTCAACCACCCCCTAACCCTCTCTGCCTTCCCATCTCACCTCCGGACAGAGGCTGCCCGTTTAGTCTCTTGTATCTATTGGAGCTAAGAGGCACACTCCTCACGAGTACCACTTTGTGTCCCACAGTCTAGTACAATCCCTGTCTGAAGAGTTGGCCTCGGAAGCTGTTTTAGTTCTGGGCTGATAGAGAATCCAGGAGCCATGCTTTCCAGGATTCCTCCAGTCTAAGTCAGACCATTAAGTCTGGTCTTCTTACTAGAATTTGAGTTCTGCACCCCACCTTTCTTCTTCTCCATCCAGGACTCTGTTGTGTTCCCTGTCAGGGCGGTCATTGGTGGTAGCCAGGCACCATCTAGTTCTTCTGGTCTGAGGCTGATGTAGTCTCTGGTTTATGTGGCCCTTTCTGTCTCTTGGACTACTACTTTACTTGTGTCTTTGGTGTTCTTCATTCTCCTTTACTCCAGGTGGTTGGGACCAATTGATACATCTTGGATGGCCGCTTACAAGCTTTTAAGACCTCAGATGCCACTCACCAAAGTGGGATGCAGAACATTTTCTTAATAAGCTTTGTTATGCCAATTGACCTAGATGTCACCTGAAAGCATGGTCCCCAGACCATACCCCTGCTACTTTGTCCCTCAAAGTGTTCGACTGTATTCAGGAAAATTCTTAGCTTTGGTTTAGTCCAGTTTTCTGACTTCCCTTGTAGTGTTTGCTGTCCTTCCCTTCACCTAAGATAATTCTTATCTACTATCTAGTTAGTAAATAACCCTCACCTTCCCTCCCCACCCTCATAATCATCCAAGAATGTTTTCTTCTGTTTAAACCTTTTGAGTTCTTATAATAGTGGTCATAT